GGGCACTTCGTTGGGGGGGGCAAGGGCAGGGTGACCAGCCGCAACCCTAGACACCCACCCCCAACCATACGGAGGCCCTGGGAGACAACAATGTGTTTTAATTCTTCTCTTATCATCCCGGACGTAGTGCTCACAAACACCACCGCCACCACCACTGCCCAGCGTTCTCCATTTCTCATATGTGGCACCCATTTGTCTTGTTGCCTATCCCTTCACGAAATTTATTCGTACAATCCAGAAAAGTTAAACTGCAAGAATACAAGAAGAAAGAAAATAGAATAGCTCACACTATTCCACATCTTTTATAGTATTTCCGCATCACATTGTTATTCCTCACCAGATGAACAAATACGCGTGATCTCAGTGGTGTATTCAACATGGGCATGGACAGTCCGAGGAAGAATTTGAAGATTAGTCCTCATCTTTACCCCTGTGGTCAAAACAACTGCATAGCTTGTGGAAAATTCGTGGCACAAATTTAAGCACTTGTCAAGTTTTTCCTCACACTGATGACGCCCATTTAGATCGCCACTTTCTTGTTCCTTCTCATATGACAGCGAGTTCATACGGCCGAGACAAGCACAGTTTCGGCTGCACCGCTTGCACAGCACACTGGATTTGTAGTGCACGATGTGTTCGGGTTCTCGAGAGGGAACTCAAATTATTATTTATCTCAATTGATGCACCTGTGTGACAAACGCACAAATAAACTTGTTCACTGTGAATCGGAAGATTTATGGTTCGAGTTCCGGAAAGGACACAGAAAGCATGCGTCATTTGCAATTATTATGAACAAAACTTTTTCCAACAATAAATAAAAGATATTTTTATTTGAGCAAAGATTTGTTTACTTTTTATCCTTTGCTCAATTTTGATTTATTTTCCACAGATGAGTCACATGAAACACTGAGTTTGAACAGTTTAACTAGCGGAGCAAGCTCTGGTCTACCTGACTGCAACAGTATACGAACGCAGTCACCGGGACCTGATCTTCTGACGCGTCACAGTCCTTCACCGACCTCGGACGGCGAGCGAACCCCAGGGAAGCGTTCGCGTTGGGTAAGCGGTTTCTGTGTATGTTCATCTCTTGATCCCCTACCATTCCAGTGTCGTAACCTGATGTTACCAACCGGAGGCTTTGGTCTGTTTTGTAGCCATTTTTCGGTTTGTCTCAGTTAATAATAATAATAATAATAATAATAATAATAACTATGATGACTGAAATAATTATTCTTATCGCAACATCTTTTGGCAGATGAGAATTCGTTCAGTATCCTTGTCTAGTCGATGATTATTCATCAACCTGAATGAGATTGGAACCAATTCGCAAATGTCTGATTCTCCAGAACCCGAAGTTTGTACAGCACGAAAATAACTTTCATAGTGAACGCGACTATCAATATGTTGCAGATAAAATATGGTTTTCTTCCGCGGTACATACGTAGTACGATACGATATTGATTGATTGATTTTCTGTCTGGTCCAGTGAGTCGATTCGGTGCCTAAGTTTTTTATATAGACTTGTCCTATAGTTTCACATTTATTGTCAATCTGTCTGCGACTTATAGTTGGTAGAACATTTTGACTAACCGGGAGGCATTAGAACCGCAGAATTTGCGAGTCGAACTTGTGATCACCATCGCACTCCTAACTACAACCCTTGTACCATGATTTTACCGAACTCCAATCGTACTGTTTGTGTGATGAAAGCTCCGTGCACTGGCATCGGTTGACAAGTGTTAAGTGTGATGCATTGACTGATAAATTTGGTCGCTGTGTTCCCGCTTCCTGCACTGTCTTCGTTCTGTCAGAGATATTCAATGAGAGTGAAATCACTTAAACACTGTAACCTCACACTCCACCCCAGCCCCAAACTCCATACTCTCACCTTGGCCAAATTTCATCACCTAGGGTGCTGAGATAAAAAGCTGAACCCTGATCGTCTGTTTTAATCCCATTTTCTGGCCAAGCAATGACTAATTAGTATGTCACATTTCGGAAGTGAGCGAAAAGTGCTACCACATCCGAACCACATGCACACACACACATACACATACACACACACGCGCCCACTCCCGCAAAACATATGGAATGTATCAATCGATGGGAAATATGTGTCAGACCCCATCCAAATCACGAGTCCTGTCCTCAACTTGCCTGTAACCCGGACAACCGCACTTCGAGTGGGAGAATGGGCTGTGATACGCTTCATCCACCTCCTCTTCCTCCTTTGCCGACCAGACCAACGGTATATGTATGGTCACTGTGGTGGATTTTTATGAGGATGAGCCGGAAACAAGTAAGATGTCATGCACTGTGTGCAGATCCGAGCCCATCTCCTCCCTCCTACTTGCATCACGCGTGCTACCTCACACACACACACACACACACACACACACACGAGCCCCCAGCCCGCCTCTCACCGTATGACCTGCGCATTTCCCTCCACCAGTTACCGTTAGCATCACCTCCACCCCACCCCACCCCTCTGGGAAGTATAACATGGAACTTTTGCACTGGAGATAGATCGTATAAACAGAAAACTTGTCTGCAACGCAGTGGTATATTGCTCAGTGTAAACAAATACTCGGTGAAATCGATCGATGAATGTTTGGCCGGAACAGTGTGTGCACTTTACCGCATGAGTGCTGAAAACGGTCAGATACGGATGGATACGTGGATAAAAAGGTCGGGAGCGAATTCACGAAAAGCATACAAGAGTATTCAGTGTTCAAATAATAATAATAATAATAATAATAATAATAATAATGTGTTTCTACACGGAAAATAACACGAAGAAAGTGATCAACAACAACAACAAAGACAACAACAACAACAACAACAATAACAACTGAATGACAGGTCAAAGAGTGCTGCTTTACTTCGCTTTCTATGTCGTATGACACTCTGCTGGAATGGTGTCAGTCTGATGCGCGGAAAACTTGCTAACTTGTATGTTCCCTTACAGACGCACACACACACTGACGGATTCACAGGCACACACTGTCAAACCTACGCACCGTAACTGCCACACTTATCGTCTGTGTTTTGCGCACTGATCATCATCATATTTTCACATTGAACGCGGACATAACGATGACAACATGTTCGCGAGATGATGGCCATTAGAGGCAGCGAAGTGCATTAAATAAATTGTTCCGGTACCGAGCACGCTGTCGTTCGCATTCCTAATGCAATGGGGAAAGATTTGGCATGTTTTAAGAATCCATTCAACTGGAAAGTATGAGAGAAGGGGTCATGGAACGACAAACTGCAAAGCGAGCAGAGATCTCCTCAGTGTGCATATTTGTGTTTCTATCTGAGATAGAGAAAGGTTGTCTTGAGGAATTCTTTATTCGCGTTCTTCACTTCGCAGCTTTTTTAACTGCCTACAATTAGAACATTACTATGGAAGCCGTTGAAGGAACGAGGATGGGTGGCTCACAGTAGGTGGATTTTGAACCCACAAACCCCGTGGCAACCTGACAGTGACCAGTACTGCTTGGACAGCCCTGGAAAGAATCCTAGGGCCTAGATCATTTGCCGTAGAGTGCACGTTCTTCTATGCGGCCCTGCTCCATTCAGACTACATTTATTCTTTTGGTTATTTACAGTCATTTTAGGTCAGTTTTTTTCCTATTTTTGTTGCACAGCGTGAACTGCTTTAAGCGTTATACTTTTATTCCCCAGTGGTACAACTGATGTTTCCAGCTTGTATAGGAAAACACACTACTGCGTCCCAGTTGGAATGTATTGTTGTGACAGGGTACCACGATTGAAGGATGTTTCTCTATTGTTATCGATCTGTTATCGGAAAGGTAGTTTACACTCATACTGTATTAGATCCGACGGTTCCAATGGTGGTTGGACATGACGGGTTGTGAGATCAGAAAGAATGATTGCAGAATGAGATCAACGTCGGTTCGGGAGTATTTCTAAGGCTGTTATCTCGTCGCACACTATTGGCAACAGTGACCTGTCATCAGAATTAGCCGCAAACCCGAACACCGTACAGCGTACAATCACATTTTGTACTGTTCAGATTGAAGGAGATCAATGCTGACAGTCAAACGTCCGTGATAGGAGTTTCTGACCATGGCCTTTTTTTAGTGAAGACACACTGTAAGACCGAACGGAAAACCATTTTCGCGTAGGATAGATTTACGCACTTTCAGAAAGGTGATGTAATTCTGTCCACTGTTACTTAAAACTCAGAGCAAACGGAAATGATATGTTAGCCATTTAATCCAATACTATGACCAACATACAATCGTGAAACAACCCCGATGCTGGAACAATGTCTCGGGATGTTGACTGCATCATATCCGGATACTGAAGTACTTGTTAGGATTCACCCATACGCGATAAGTATCGATCACTCGAAACACTCGAGTGTGATCACCACATTTTGGCACTCGTGATATTAATCAGCCACTACTCTCCGTCAAGTAGAAGACGTGCTTGANCTCATTGTGTTCTGAATCTCAGATACTGGATCTTTATCAAAGGATAATCATCCCTGATTATACTGAGGTCGTTTGGAAGACCTGTACAGTGTTTTACATTTCCACATGTCATGTACATCTTCATTCAACTTGTAAATTTCATCTGTAGTGACATTTTCTGTCATGAGTCTTGTTGATGTGAATGATTATATACCAGTTTGATATGTTGAAACATGGTTTTAATCCACACGAGCGTCGATACAAGCAGCAATTGCTTGACCCGGATTCGAACACACACACACAGAGTAAAACCTGAGGTACATAACACGCGCACAAGTNTGGACAGGTCCGACAAGTATGTTATCACACCCCTGACTACCACACCTGCCCAATTCTTACAGCTTTGTTTGTCCAGCCAACCACCCATTCCTACGCCAAAAAGTGCACCTTATTCGACCTCCAAATCGCATGTTCGCCACCTGTTCTCGCCTAAACCATGCACTCAGATCGTCCCCATTTTTAGTTTTCTTGTCAGATTTGTTAAAAGATTATCACTTCGGTGATGGTGAACTCTGTGTCCTGGGCTACGTTTGCTTGGGGCCAACATTGAACTAGTTTCCGACCATAGTTACTTTAGACGAGGTCTAGTGACCGGGCCGGTTAACCGTTCTATGATGATATTACTATTATCACCACCGCACACCCCCGCAGGTGGGGGAGGTACATTCTGAAAAAAGTGGTGAATGCTTAGGGTGAACACTGTAGAGACGTTCAGAACTTGTGAACGTTCACACAGTGTTGGAGTGCATCCACTTGCGGTTCGTTAATGTTCCAGTCTACTACTATTACTACTACTAGTGAAAGATAAGTAGTTATCCAATTAATTTCACAAAATTGGATCAGGAATCTGAATTAAATCAAAACGGCATTGACTTTCATGATTTGGTTGCCCTCACCTCTGAACTGGTACCAGGTGACCCGTACGGATACATAAGTTCGACCCATAGAATTTCGATGCGTAGGTAAAGAGTAGGTAAAACCTATGCAACACTTGGCACTGAAAACATCAATATGTATGGTTCTTGTGTAATGTTTTCAATAAGACTTTTGATGAGCATAGCCTTTCTAACCCCAATTTAGTCTATTAGGATGCAAAACATTCACATTCGTAAGACCAGTTTTGAATAACTGCTGTCTGAGCGCTCGCTAACCTTTCAAGATTCCTTGACTGATCGCCTGCCAGCGGAATGCGTGTCTCGAGTGAGTATGAGTTGATGTAGCTGGTGCGAAACACAACAAGGCGGTAACGTGTGGATCGTTGGAGCTAAGTCAAGGCTACGAATAATATGTAGAAGAACGGGTCTTTGGATCCCGAGTGAACAAGATTACTTACACAAGTGAAGTGAGTGGATCGGCCTTGTAAGGAAGTGAGGGTTCTGTTGCGCGATGAAAAGAATGACCTGGTTTGCATCGCTAAATCCATGGTTGATTCGAAGTACCTACAGACACAGAATGAGTAATGTAACCTCCTGTTGAAATAGAAATCAATTCTTACTGTTAGTATATACTAGTATGAAGACGCCCAATTATAAAGAGTGTATCATGGCGCTCGCTGCTCATCACGAGAGGTGAACCCATGGAACACTATATAGGGACCATTCTGTGGGTTTTCACACATCGTCCCGCTGCTTACCTAGCTAGTCCCGTTTTGGCTAGTCGAGGCTCCAGTTGTGAATTCCCCAAGCAAGTTCATCGGCTTTGAACTGGACAACTTGGTAGTATCGTGCCCAAGAGCAAGACACGAAACTTTTCTTCTCTTTCTGAAAAGATTATCGTACTTTGATTTGTTTGGCACAGTCTGAACTCAGACGTGTGTGAAATTTTGAACACTTTTCAAAACATTAAAACCTGGTGTATCACTGAGGTGAGTACGTGTAAGCTATTTGGAGCATGTTTTTCAAGGTCAAATGTCAAACCCGTACCAGCGTACACCAGTCAAAACGACTACTACGCTCCTTGATTTTTGAATAGATTTTTTGTGTGATGTTTCCCCATGAGGTGCGGTTCATTTTTTGCAACTAGATGAATTTAGGGTGACAAGCATCGATCGTTACTATGCTTTCTGTCACTGCATCAGTGTGAATAGTCCCGGTTTGTATTCCTCTCCCATCTATCAGATCCGTCCTGGTCTGGGGAGAGCATTCAAGAAACGATCGAAGAGCAGTATGAATCCTGGCGAGCGATCAACAGCCCACGTGGAACCGCATCACCGAGAAAGGTAACTTGATTAAAATGTTCGCTGTTGGTGTGTGTTATTGTTTATCTTTTTACTGAAGGTTATACAGTTACCTGGATGAGTGAAAACAGGTTTATCGACAAGGTGTCCAAAGAGGTATACACTAAATTGTCTCTGTTCAGTATCCGTTCCAATCCTGAAGAATTAAGTGTACAGTTATGTAATCCATGAATATAACTAACCCAACGAAGCAAAGAACGGAATATGCATTCATGTATCCCAGATGGCGACTAGTTGCAATTTGTGAATCGTCATTCACCGAAGATCAATTTGTATTTCTTGAACAAATAACTGCGCCTGGTTGTGGTTCACATTGAAATATTTGTTTGAAAGCGCAGTTTCATTGATTATAGTTTGTGCTACTGAGTGAATTATTGGCCGAATCATACCAAAATCAATTTTTCCTCAACTCAAAAGGTAAACAAGACTTGTCACCCATGATGCAACAACAACATCATTTTAGATTGAAGACGCTGCGTTTGTCACCAGCAACGATGGAAAGTAAAGTGCAAGTGCCATTGGAACCTGTATATTCTTGGCTTCTGTATGGTTGCGATGGTTACGTTCATTGCCAAGTCATTTAAACTATTTAACAGATTCATCTGTGCGATGCTGCTTTTTGAATTCATTCAAAATATAGTAGTTGCGGGCTAGGCATGCAAGGGAACTCAGATTTTGCAGCCCCCTATCCCCGTGTTTCACACGTAATATTCTTTTGGTTTCAGCGTTCCAACCGCCACAGTATGCAGCAATCCGGGGATCACACGAAATCTGTTACCCCCGGGTCCGGACCATTTCACTCATCGTATGACAAGTCCTTCACCACAGACGACGGACCACATGAATGATCAATCCGCACAAAGCCTACTTCATCGAATGCGATGGGAGCTCAGTTGCCTGGAGGCGGACAACAAGCGTTTACGTCGATTAATCCTAAACGCTCCTGAACTGATAGATCCACCTGATTCCGCACAAGCACATAATCAGAATGTGGTCACTTTGACCGGTGAGTAATACCCTGGATGGAAATGATATCAAAAAGATAGATACCACTGCATTTAACTGGTGCAACTAGCACAATAATATTCTGTTGAAAAGTTGTGAAAAGCTCAATAGCCTCGGTGGGATTCGAATCCATGCATGAACGTCGCCCACGCTTTTGTGCAGCGCACGCTCCAACGGATAAGCTACAAGGTCACTCCGATTGCAAAATAAATTTTCTATCTACCAAACAACAATTAGCCTTACCTTAGAAGTTCATTCGGTGGGCTCCGGTGAACTCTCAGGAAGACCTTTCGTGTCAATCGGCTTACATGCCACCTGGTGGATGTCATGTGCCTCTGTCAGTTGGATGGGTAAATTGGAATGTGAAAAGATCAGTGCTCTGTCGGTGTCACCTCATAGCTCACTCAGCTGGAAGAGTGTGCGTGGCACAAACGCGTGTGCAGCGTTCATGCGTGTGTTCGAATAAATAATAAGCTTTTCACAATTGGCACATTAGACATTAATCTACAAACAACAATTTGAAAGTAAGAATCATCTAATGATATATTCACATATACATATATTTATCCTGCTCGATTGGGTATATGCACTCAGTTTTAACGTATTTCTTTTAGCGATGAGAACAAGCACCCTTAGATTCATTGTCACACAAAAAATGAAATCAATGATAGAATGGAACTGTCATCTTTCCTTGCGCCAGTGTGTTGCCTGTCTTTGTTGTTCGATTAACCGTCACTGATCTTTCAAACATGATCTCAGGCTTCTCTAGGTGAAATTATCTACTGAACAGAGTAATCGGTTGCAGACGATCAGACCTACCCCTGATTTGCTTAATATACGGTATCATCGATAAACTCGTGGCATGTTTGGAATAATGTTTCCAGCTTTGTCGCCTTGGGTTGGGTCAGTGTGCGTCGAACGGGAAAATTGTTTCTGTAGACAAGCGCGTAACCGTTTCCCTGTCTCATCCATGTAGTTTCGGCTAAGTTTTAGACACTTGCGTGTATCAAACTCGAGTACCCGTGAAGTTAACCCCTGTCCTGGGAATTTGCCTTTACAAGGAAACAATCTGCTGTACGCGCTCTCTCAGATTTTTGGACACGTTAATTCCTAATGTTCGAAATTTGCATTCACTGGCGTGCAGCGTATGCAGTGTGGCTTTACTGCAATCTCCTCTTTTGTGTACGCGTTGGCTTTCATTATTCACGTTTTGATGAAAACTCTCGGGTATGCATTGGTTGAGAGTAGTTGATGTAGTCACATGGTTCATTTCGTTATTGCACCCCTAAGTTCCCCGTGCGTTCGCTCGGCAAAACGGACGAAATACAGAATAATTCCTCGCGTCAATTGCAATGTCGTATGTCATTGTTCGCTTACAACAGACTGCGGTTCGTGATCTGTTGTCTGGTTGTCTATTTTGTAGGACATTGTGGTGAGTGTGGGAGCTGTGGTTAACTGCCTTTGTCGTTGGGGCTATCGAATTAATGAATTTATTGTAGGTATTCTGACTGACATTAATTTGTTCTCTAGCCATCGAATCCACAGACAAGAATTTAAGGTTTTGAACGCTCCGACATGCAGTTGTTTCATGAATGAATGTGCATGCCAGATTGAGGACGATGATCCGATAGAAGTTCTTCGTATCGGGAAGTAGGTTTCTGAACAGCGATCGCCAAATTTCATCATCCTCAACTGGATGGTTTACGTCCTCTACACCAAGACGCAACCACCGGTAGTTTTGTATTGGTCCGTCAGCTGTACTCGGGATGCAACAAATTCTTAATTTATCGTGCGAATTTGTTTTCCCCGGTGCACTGGTTACAATGACTCGTAGGTTCAGTGACCAAAAAATGCCAACTGAAGTGATGACAAACTCAGCTGTTCATCTTTCAGGGCTCCCGGGAATATTTCTCTTTGGACCAACTAAAACGGCATAGTTCCACCAGTTTTGGGGATTATACAAAGTCTATCAACCGGTATTGACAAACATTACCTGACACGTCAACACCAAGTTCATCGAAATCCATCTTGTCTCGTTGTGCGAGTACAGGAGATTGAGAGAAGTCAATGACAAAATGGTCAACACGTAATTATGCCCATTCTCTCGTTATGGAGTTAAATGTACCAAAGGTGATAGGTCACTTATTGCCAACATTTTGATTACGTACCCTGAAGAGTAATGAGTCAATGGTTCAAAATTATATTTTTAATATCTGGGGCTCATTCTGAACCGACAGAAATATGTTAGTTAGTTAGTTAGTTAGTTAAGTCACATCTGTTTCACTAAACTTGGAGGGGGGCGGGGGGGGNGGGGGGGGAGTCTCTAGGAAAAGCTATTTTATTGAGTCAAGTTAAGAAACCACTCACATCCACTGATGAAGACTGACATTTGAAAAAAAAAACAGGTAAGCTGACAGTCGTACAGATCCACCTCATCCATGTTTTGATTGAGAATCTGTTGAACACTGTTTGTATAAACGGGTATATATCACACGTTTTCGACAATGTATCGATATCCACGTGATACTACACTCTCCAGCAGTCACTGGAAACTTTTGATTCTGCTATCAACGCACAGAAGATCGAATGCCGTGTGATCTTGCCGAATATGGGGACTGTAACTGTAATTTTACCGTCCAATGACAACCAGTTTTGTCCACATTATGGGTCATGTATGTCATCCGACCGGTTTAATGCGATTGCCTGTTTCCATTCATTCCTCGCGTTTGTGCTGTTCCATACCTGACCGGAAATGTGGGCTCGGGTGAATTTATGACTCTGTTGAAAGAGCAAGAGGGAGAGCGGCAGGAAACTGGAGATCCGTACACCGTCTGTGTTCCAGATTGCGTGTATTTGACGTGTGGGGATCGCCTATCACCTCACTTGGTCGAATGACTTAGTGGCACTGATTTGTGCTACCAGATAGAAAGCACCGATGAATCAGCATTTGGTCGGCAGTGGAATCGTTCAAAATCACTGACAAGAGTTTCTCCAATCACCGACTGAGATGGATTAGATGTGTATCCAGCCGCTGTGATATAGTTGATTGTGCATAAATATACACACACACACACACGCACAAACGTGCACCATCCACTAATATCCCCTCGTTATACTTCAGAGACCTGAAAATGTAACGAAAAGTTTTCCGTACATGGTGAACGTCATCGTGTAAACAGCAAAAACGTGAAATGCGAACTGAAAAGCCAAGTAACACTCACTAGATGGTTGTTTTGACTCTCTGGGTAACTTTTTACCCGATGGTGAATACTGTGTTTCGGCAACGGACTTAGATTGCTAATCCCCGTTTTTCAGCCCTAGGGGTCAACCGATTCTACCACTTACAATAGTTCTCTGGTTGTTCTATGGGTCACAGGTTGACTGGACTACTGGACAACTTCGTCTCTCCGTTTGCATTCAAAAAACTTCAACTCGGCGGTGATGGTCAAGCGGTTAGTTCACCAAACTGTGACCCGGAAGTCCCGGGTTCGAACCGCTCCACCGCCACCGCGGACCCGTCTTCTTTAGTTCTGTATTCCCCCAGACAGCCTTTGTATGGCCACAGCTCCCTTCCTGAAAGTTGCGTGTACATTTGTATATTCGATAAATTAAAAAGGAAGAAAAATGATATTTTATTATTTGCTACATTCGAATTATTAACGGAGATAGTCCAGTGAACTACTCATCTCTCCCTCTCTTTATTTCCTCCATCTTTTTCTCCAGTTCTCGCTTAAAAATTACTCACATTATTCATCGAAATCTGGTCAACACTGATTGATTTATTGGAACAGTATGTATATGATGACAGTTTAATTAGATACTGCCTAATGTCCAGCAGATTGTACAAATCAATGTGGAAAACTACTATATCCGCCAGGTTGGCCTGATCCGGTGCATACAGTGCACCAAATTGGTCATAGAAACGCAGGGAGGTGGTGGTGGCGCAGTGGTTTAGTCCCTGTCACCGGCGTGCTTTGAACCCTGTGGTCCAAGGTTCGAGCCCCGCCACCGCCACTCTGCTTTGGTGGTAGCTCTGCTGTCGTCTGATTTAATACCACGCCTAACCTATCCGGGGCCTTATGTGGTTCGACGCTCGAAGTCCTGCGGGGCTTAGGTTGCCGGTTACCATTAATGAACAGCAGGTCCTCGTGACTATGGGGTTCTATCCCGTCTGCTGTTCATCACACACTTAATAATAAAGATGTGAGAATCGTCGTGTTCGGCAGGGCGATCATCTTATGCAGTACACACGTCTTTGTTCAAATAGATACTGCAGAAGAAATAGATACTCAAGTCAACAGCCTCACGCCTCATTTGTTATACCTTCGGTCTATCCCTTCATCAAAAAACGGT